TTTTTGATTCCATCTCTGATTTCTTCTATTACCCATTGATGTGTAAGCAGAGTATTATTCAGTTTCCATGTAGGTTGATTCTGATTTTTTAAGTTTTCTTTGGTTGGATGAGAAAAAATGTGTAGCTCTGGGAAATTGCACAAATATGCAGAGAGGTAATAAAGTCATGAATACAGGATAAATATTTTTGGTAAAACATGTTCATTCAGGTAAAATAATTTGTTCTCATTAGCTGACTAGGTTATGCTTTGTCTGCTCACTACATTTAGAAGCTCCATATGTTTGATATGTAAGATTTGTTTGCATGCTTAGAAAGATTTTGCTTGTTAGTGTTATAAGTCTTCCATGTCAGAAGTTTGAAGTTTTGCAGAAGACCAGGTGTTTTAAATTTTTTAGGTAAAGAAGTCTACAGGTCTTTGATGAATTGCAAAGCCCTGCGTGATCTTCTGACCTCCTCTTCTCCCCCTACAATGATGAATTATGTGCGCATTCCTTTCTTCCAAAAGGCCTCTCTTCTCAGCATTAAGGTAGAACTATATGTTTGCCTTGGTGGTGTAGTGGTTAAGTGTTATAGCTGCTGACCAAAAGGTTGGCAGTTCGAATCCACCAGGCACTCCTTGGAAACTCTGTGGGGCAGTTCTACTCTGTCCTATAGGATGGCTATGAGTTGAAAATGATTCCATGGCAGTGGGTTTTGTTTTTTGTTTTGTTTTGTTTTTTAATATATCTGCCTTATCTCCAGTGAGTGATTTATATCCCTGGGGACTTCCACTAGTTGTAACACCTACTATGATGAGCCCCAGGTAGGAAGAAGAAAAAAAAAAACTTACTTCAGGAAATTACTTAGTGTAGAAGGTACAAATGGATGGGCATTTTGGGAGTGGTATTCAGACTTCACCAGGAGCCCTGGTGGCTCTATGGTTAAGCGCTCAGCTGCTAACCGAATGGTTGGCAGTTGGAACCCAACAGCCTCTCAGTGGGAGAAAGATGTGACAGTCTGCTTCCGTAAAGATTTACAGCCTTGGGCAAGGTCATGGAAGCTCCATAGACACATCCAAACTCCCTGAGGGACAAGATTACTGGGCTGAGGGCTATGAGGACCATGGTCTCAGGGGACATCTAGCTCAATTGGCATAAGAGTTCATAAAGAAAATATTCTACAATTCTACTTTGGTGAGTAGCATCTGGGGTCTTAAAAGCTTGTGAATGGCCACCTGGGATACTCCACTGGTCTCACCCCATCAGGAGCAAGGGAGAATAGGAAACCAAAGACACGAGGGAAAGATTAGTCTAAAGGACTAATGGACCACAACTATCACAGCCTCCACCAGACTGAGTCCAGTAAAACTAGATGGTACCCGGCTACCACCACCAACTGCCCTGACAAGGATCACAATAGAGGGTCCCGAACAGAGCTGGAGAAAAAATGTAGAACAAAATTCTAACTCTCACATACACACACAAAAAAAGACCAGACTTACTGGTCTGACAGAGACTAGAGAAACCATGAGAGTATGGCCCTGGACACCCTTTTAGCTTAGTAATGAATTCACTCCTGAGGTTCACCCTTCAGCCAAAGATTAAACAGGCCCATAAAACAAAATGAGACTAAATAGACACACCAGCACAGAGACAAGGACGAGAAGGCAGCAGTGGACAGGAAAGCTGGTAATGGGGAACCTAAGGTCAAGAAGGCGAGAGTGTTGACATGTCGTGGGGTTGGCAACCAATGTCACAAAACAATATGTGTATATTAATTGCTTAATGAGAAGCTAGTTTGCTCTGTAAACCTTCAACTAAAGTACAATAAAATAAATAAAAATTTAAAAAAATAAAAAATCTGAAGATTTACAGCTTTGGAAACCCTATGGGGCAGTTCTGCTCTTTCTTCCTATAGGGTCATTATGAGTTGCAATTGACTCGACAGCAATTTTTTTTTTTTTTTAATCTGTTTCTATTAAGTGGATGGCCAAGGAGAACAGGGAAACCTCTGAGTACAATCAGTGTGTGAGAACAATAGTTAAGTTCAACGAATATGCATCGACATCTTCTCATGTTGTACAGATTGTGCTGGGGATTCATTCATTCATTTGTTTAGCTATATTTATTAAGCAGATGCTTATTAAAGAAATTGGTATACCTATTGGTTGGTCATGGAGTCCTTTGGTAGTGCAAGCAGTTAAGCACTTGGCTACAAACTGAAAGGTTGGTGGTTCAAATCCACCTGCAAGCACCTTGGAAGAAAAGACTGAGGATCTACTTCTGGAAGATTACAGCCATTGAAAACCCTATGGAGTACAGTTTTAGTCTGAAACCCATGAGGCTTGCCATAAGTCAGAACTGAATCAATAGCAACTGGTTTACTGCATGGTCAGAGCCCTGAATAGGGCTGAAAAGACACTTTTAAATTCTTATTGTTCTTTTTCTTATGAATGTGTTCTGTATTTAGAGAGGTTTTTAAAAATTAAGTTCAATTTTTGCATTTCATTTTATCTCCTAGTCCTGCTTCCTGAAGATTAGACTTGCATGTTTCTCTTTCATGTTCCTGTAGTCCTCTGTGCTTGTCTTAATCCCAGTATCTCACATTATACATAAAACCTGCGAAAGCTGGAAGGTGTGTAAGGCAGAAACCTGTCAGAGAAGGAATACTCAAATATTTTCCACTAATAGAAAGCAATGATAGAAAAGTGGTATGCACCACGTCAAAGGCAGAAGATTTGCAAGACCTAGAAAAACAAGGCAGCCTCATCAAGTTCCGGCTATCACAGGTTTTGCTGTAATATCTTTCCATGAGAATGTAAACTCTGTGAGGACAGGAATCATACCTTATTCATCTTTGTGTGATCATGTCAAAGTTCAGAACCTCTCAATGGCTTCCCATCTACAGTGCAGTGAATTACATAATATGGCCCTTCTAGCTAGTCTTTGTTACTCCCCACCAAATGACTGGGTGGGACTATGCAAGTGACATGCTTGTGACCCACTGAGGGGATTGGATAGCTTGCTAATAATGTAAATAGGGTGCATGACACCCTTGTGGGGGTGGGACCTTGCAAATAAGGTGTATGGAATCCTAACAAGGGATTGGTCAGTTTTAAAATGAGCCATCCCAGAGGTGGAAAGGAAGAATCTCACCACCACCAAGAAAGAAGAGCCAAGAGTGGTCCTGGGATGTCTGTGCTGAGAAGCTCCTAGAACCAGGAGACAGAAAGAGAGATGTAATACCAAAGACAGCAAGAAGCAGCAGCAGAGAAATGGCAGAAAGTAGAGGCAGGAGACTGACAGGAGGTGCACGATAGTCTTCCTGGCCCACCTGAGTGCCTTCAGGCAGGAGGCTTGCTGGTGGAGTAGGGTGCCTCTGGGGACTTTTTGGAGCTAGACTTGCCGACCCACAGAGCTAGAGCTAAGGGCCTTCAGCTGACGCTTACTGGCAGAGTGGGGTCCCTCTGGGTACTTATCAGCAGAGCTAAAATAATTTAGTAACACTTGCCTGAGCAAGGCAGAAGCCAGGCCGAGGGGTTGAGGGCCAGCGAGAGACCTGCTTGTGAGCATGGCTGAGAAGAGGCTGTGCCCAGAGGTACCCCACTGTGCCAGTAAGCCTCCTGCCCAAAGGCACTCAGCTCTCTCACTCCGTGGTTCAGCACACCCACTGTAACCACCTTGCTCCGTGGGACAGGAAGCCCACTGCGCTGTCTCCTGCTGGCTGCCTCTGCTGCTGCCATTTCTCTGCTGCTGCTTCTTGCCATCTCTCACTGTCTTCAGTGTTACAGCTTTCTCTCTCTCACTTCTGGGTTTAATAGGGTCTCAGCATAGGGAATCCCAGGTCCAAAGGATGTGCTCTGCTCCTATCTCTTCTACTTGATGGTAGTCGGATCCCCTCTGCTCTGAGATTGACTGTTCTTTTAAGCCTAGCAGAATGGCAAAATTGACGAATCCCCTTTTTAGGGCTCCATAGACCTTATTTGCATGGTCCCACCCCGATAAGGGTGTCATGCACCTCATTTACATTATTAGCAAGCTATTCAATCCCCTCGGTGGGCCACAAGCACCTTATCTGCATACTCCTCACCCAGTCATTTGGTGGGAGTTACAAAGACTATAGCTAGAAGGGCCATATTAAGTAATTCACTGCACTGCAGAAAGGAAGGCTGAGGGTATTTTCTTCCACTTTGTAGCCAGATTCTGGGAGAATAACCCTAGAGATAGAGTAGGGGATGGCAGCTGCTAGAAGAAAAGAGGAAGAAAGTCCTTTTCTTTTAGTAGAAACTGAGGCCTCTTGTATACTTAACTCTATTTCCTCTTCTGCAAATTTATTAACATCTATGGCCATTCTCATCTCTTTTGTTTTTCCTCAGATAAAGTCTTCTTTTCCCATTTAATGCCAAACATCTACCTAAGCCCCTGACTGCCACCTCATCCCCCTCCTCTCGGGC